GGGGGGGGTTCTGCCCAGCTTTTGCATAATTCATTAATTAAACAGACCAAACCTGCTAGACATGGTCTTGGCCACTCATGTCAGTTTCTTTGGCCCTGAAGACAGAAATCACCCCTAACGTATTCAAATTCCGGGTCAGTGCCACCGCCCCAGAGAAATGGCTCATAGCCTTCCCAGGCTTGGCCTTCTTCCCAAGGAGTAGTCTCCATGCCCCATCCCTGCCCCGCCCCTGCTCCAGGGGAATCTTCAGGAGCCAGGAGGACTTCCCTTCCCTAAACATGCCCAGATTCATTTCTCTTTATTCTGAACTTAAAACAAATATGTCTGTAATAGGCTAACGTGAAACCCTATTGGTTATTTCTCTAGTGTGAACAAGTTAGTTGTTCATTTTTTCAACAAATATTTACTAAGGTCCCCCAAAGTGCTGAGGAAATGTACATAGATTAATGATCCCCAGGAGGGAGGCCATCCTAGGGACAGGCAGGGGAGGCCAGGAGGGTGCCATTGAATCTGGGGCCATCACCACTGTGCTGAACCACCCGCATTTTTCAAGGTGTCTAGAAAAGTGGAAGGTGCAGAGCAAGGCGCAGGGAGTTCCAGGAGGAATGGTTGGGTTCAGAATGGTTTTGTAATAGAGAAGGTCAAGAGTATGAGGTACATCTTGAGTGTGAAGAGGTATTTGGAGCTGCTGCCTGGTAACTCTGGGGTGGGGTTACACTAAACCCCCTCCTACTCCCCCCGGAAGCCGGCTGCCCTGGGGGCTCTCCACACAAAAGCCAATCTGGAATCTGACAGTAGTCCTGCTCTCCTGTGCCCCAGCCCCGCCTGAGTCCCCCTGCTGGAACCGTGTAGGCCTGACACTCAGTCCATCTTTCAACAGTGAGAAACAAACAAAACTGTGTGCAGAATTGGATGTTTATTTCCACCATCTGCGTGGCGATACAAGTTCAAGTTATAATGGCATCCGCTCTCCATCAGTATTAGGGAACCATTTAAACATCCACAGCCATTTACTGATTATGAACACACACTGAAAAAAAGGCGGCAAGTGGCATGTGGCCCCGCACCTGGTGCCTTTGTGTGCGTCAGTCAATTTCATGCCTAGGAAGCGCTGGGCTCCGTGGGGATGGCTATATAAGCAGCTTGGTTCATTGTGGGTTTTTATTTATTTTTTCCTGGGAAAGTGCATAAACCAAGTTGGCTCAAAAATACACTTATTGCAAATAGATGGGAATAAATGGAAAACAGACAATGATCATAAATGCAAACAAAAAAATGCTGACTTTCCTAATGTTAACAGGTCCATTTACTTCTAATTAGCAGATTAAAACTGAAGAGTATTTTTATCAGCCTTCAAGAAAAGTTATGAGGGGTTGCTGTGCAAAAGGCTCCTATCTCCCATGCCCAGCCCCTCACCACACCACACCACCCACTCTCTCCCTGGATGGTCTGAGTCACTGGCAATGACAAATAGGGGATAAATTGGACATGGTGACAGCAGGCAGGGGAAACTGAAGGAACAAAGAGAAATTGATGCTTTTTTTTAAAGGTTGATTTTTTTGAAAAATTATTTGAGAGACAGGAAGGGAGAAAAAAAAAACCCATGTGAGAGAAAACAGTTGCCTCCTGGATATGTCCTGATTAGGGATCGAACCCACAACCTGGGTATGTGCCCTGACCAGGAATCAAGCGCTCCAAACAACTGAGCCACACCAGCCAGGGTGAAGTAGATGCATTTTACAGGGCAACAAAGAAAGTTTACCTAAAAGGTGTGACATGTTTTCTGGATCAACTTTTTATCTTGCCTGCTTCCGACCAGCCCCTGCCTTGTCATTGGCCCACTTATGACTCTGTACTGAGTCTGACTTGAGCAGCATTCTCAGAGCCTGTTTTCTTACTGGGACAGCTTCAAAGGGGGCGTTTCATTAGCCCACCGGATTCCAGGAGCTCTGGGTGGCACATTTCCGGTTCACTTCTCCACGGAGAGGTTTGTTTTTGCTCTGTTTTGGAGGTTTTTCTGACAGCTTTCTAACTATAAGTACGTTCTGCCTCTATGACCAAATGTTTTGGAGGGAGGAGTGTAGAATAACACTCAGCTTTTTAGTAAGTCATGGGATGTCAAGTACAGCACAGCAAATACAGTCAATAACATCACAGTAACTCTGTATGGTGACAGATAGATCCTAGATTTCTCGTGATCACCTCTTAAATGCCTAATCACTGTGTTATACACCTGAAACTGATATAATATTGTATGTTGACTATAATTTAAAAATAAGTATTTTTAAAAGCTAAAAAAAATATCGAGTACAAAAGGTTTATGGGGAAGTAAGGCCCTATAACAGAAAAGGGGGACAGGCTGGGCAGGGGAGCCATCAGCCTGTGATGCAGACCCACAGAGTTCAGTCAGTGCCCAGGGGGCTGGAAGCAGAGCCTGCCTGCTGGAGGAGTCGCATCGGGTGGAAAAAGCCAGGGCCCTCTACCACCACCCTGCTCCGGAATTGACCAAGAGCTTGACTTTGGCTCAAACACCGAGTTTTGACCAACCCTGAAGGAGCCAAGAGCAGGGAGGCTGTCAGCCAAGCACACCCCTGCAGCGGTGGCAGGCCTTTTCTTGAAGGGAGAGCAGAGCAGTTCCTTTTGTGTCGGCCACACAGGATAGAATTCTTAGGGCCCTGTTCTAAAAGCAGTGGAAAACCACTGAACAGTTTCAATCAGACAAGATGGGGTTTCATAGTTGCATGAATATGTAATGCCTACTGAACCATTCACACCCGAGTTGGGTGTCGGTCATGTGCCAGGTGTCTAGGTGCTGGGGACAGGAGTGGACAGAACTAAGGTCCTGCTCTGGTGAAGCTTCTGTTCTTCAGAGAGGAGGGAGACAAACAGTAGGACCTAAGAAATATTCGCATTACATAGTATGCTGGATTTCTGCTCCTCAGTGTGGTCCATGGGCCAACAGTATCACACAGGGGTTTGCTGGAAAGGCCTCACCCCAGACCTACTGAATTCAAATCTGCATTTTACCAAGAAGCCACGTGACTCTTATGCACAGTAATATTGAGGCTCCACTCTTAATCTTTTTTTAAAAAAATATTTTTATTGATTTTAGAGAAACAAGAAGGGAGAGGGTGAGAGAGATAGAAACATCAACGATGAGAGATAATCATTGAACGGCTGCCTCCTGCACATCCCACACTGGGGATCGAGCCTGCAACCTGGGCATGTGCCCTGACCCAGAATCAAACTGGCAACCTCTTAGTTCCTGGGTCAACGCTCAACCACTGAGCCACACCAGCCTGGCTCCACTCTCAATCCTAAGACAACTTTTAGACAATGTTAAAGTGGGGGCGATAACTACAGTATTAAAAAGTGTAGTTTAGGTAGACCTCATTGAAGAGGGAAACTGATTAAAAACATAAAGGAGAGGCAGGAGTTGGCCAAGCATCTGGGTTGAGATATTTGCAGGCAGAGGGAGTAGCTGGAACCAAGGCTCTGAGGCAGAAAGTGCCTGTAGCCTTTGAAAGCAAGATGGGGAGGGAGCTACTGCAGTAACCCAGACAAGAAACACTGGCAGTTCAGACCTGCTTGGTAGCACAGAGGAGTGGAGAACTGGTTTGATTCTGGGTACGTTTCTAAGGTATATCCAACATGATTTCTTGGTGGATTAGATGTAGAATGTGAGAGAGAAGTTGAGGATAAGTCCACGGTTTTTGGCCTAAGCAGTTGGAAGAAGTGTGATCAATTCAAGTGTGGAAGGCTGTGGGTACAACAGGTTTGGGGGGTAAGATCAAGGAATTATGTAGAAGTTGAGATGTCCGTTAGACATCCACGAAATGATCAGTTTCACAGAAGTGTGGAGTTCAGGAAGGAGGTCTGCTAAAGATGTAAATTTGGGAGCCATGATCAATCATTCCACTAAGGTCTTCTGAGAATAGGGCTAAATATAATGAACTACTGCCATGCTTGCAGATCTGCTGATTATACCAAAAACTTTGGTCAGACAATACAACCGATGTGGAAGTCACTGTAACACTAACTTTTTCTATAATCCCTCCTGGGTCGTAATCTGACATTTCAGGTGCATAGTTAGTGCAGTTTAAATATTGTTTTCTTTAGAATATTCTCAAGTATAAATGCACAACAAAAGGTAACTCACTCATAAAAACCAAAACTGAAAATAAAAAGAGATGGCCATCTAAAACCAACTATATACTTTTTAATTTCCACTGGAGAGTGGACAAAACTCATTGATGACTCCCTCTCAAAAAATGTTCTACTAAAATAAAAGTTCTACTAAACTAGACAATGAATATATTTTAATTAAAATCTAGCAGCACTTGGTGTAGTATAGCTGTGTGCAGAGCATTATAGCAGTTATTAATGGAAGTGCTGTTTCAGGCACTCATAGTTAACCATTTACATATACTATCATCTCATTTAGTCCTCAATCCTATAAGGTTGTACCCATTTCACTTATGAGACCAAGATTCAGAGAAGTTAAATATGTGAGCTCACATGGTTAATATGTACCAGTGCAGAAATCTAACTCCAAATGAAATGAGAACTTCCTATAAAATTCAAACAGCACAATTTAGAAATGAAATCTGCTGAGGAAGTGATACTAATCTATTTTATTTTCAAATAAAGATAAAGTGCTTCTTCTAGGAAAGACTATCTTCTAAGCACCCAACTGTCTACAGTCAATATATCCTTTACAAAAAGGTTGCTGGAATATCATTTCCTTCCTCTTTAAAAAAAAAAAATCTAACCACTCCCACCCCCTATGACTCATGATTTTCATTGTAAATATGACTTTTCTTGCAGATATCTAGGCAAGGTGATATTGACTAAAAAAGTGGCAAGTAGTTTTGTGTTACTTATCTGTACTTACAGATTTTATCTGTAGCAATGATTAGGTGAAATGATACAATGTACTGTTAATGATTTTTAACATTTTATTTCATGTAATAAATTATAGAATTCATTTTTATCTTTAAACAGTCTACAGCAAAAAATATTTTTGAAAACATCTTTCTCCTTTAGTAAAACAAATAGGTTAGCAGGCTGATGTCAGCTTCAATTCTAATGGCTAAAACCCCCCACAATTACACAGTTAAACATAGTGTTTCTTTACATTTCTCTAAAAGTTCAAGTTGATACCACTTGATAAAAAGAATAGATTTCCATTCTGCATAAGGCCTTAGATTGAACTGTAGAATATTAGGTAGGAAATTATAAAGATATATTTGTTAGCCTTGAACTCATCATCTTACATGTGTATATACTATAATGGCCAAAAGGAGCATGACGGTGAAAAAAGAAAGGCACTAAAAGATGCAGTGGGTAAGTCTTAGTCCTGTATATTATGAGCGGCCGGCCATAAAAGGCATATAATCCACATAATGTGACAGATAAGGACGAAAACAGTTCACAGGAGGTCTTGGGTTTTTTTACTGTTACCAGCAAATTTGATTGTTCTTATCAAACTATTCAGAGGCTATCAAACTTCTGTGAACATCAAGCATGTCAAACCCACGGTCCGCGAGCCGCATGCCTCGTTTATTTGGCCTGTGTTAGCCTTTGAGTTTGACATGCTTGTTGTACATAAACTGGATTACTTTTTAGTTACAAAGTAAGGTTGGCCTCATGAAGTGCACAGGATAACAAAACCATTTAAAGGCTTGGCAGGAATCAGTACATCTTAGAAAGTGGGAAAAGAAAACCCAACTTTTAAATGCACCAAAGGGTATGTATGCAAAACAATTCCTCTGAATGTATATAAAATGAGACTGATCAGCAGTGGTGTCAATTGTTGGCTATTTTCCTCCATGAAAGAACACAAGAATTTAACTCTCGCAGTGAGCTACTTATTCAATATTAAAGTAACATCACTGGTTAAAAAAAATTACCTTTGTTTAATGTAAATTTTACTAAAACCTATCCTAGGCATATCGTCTAAAAATAAAAGCACATCCTATAGCTTAGGCCTCATTAAAGTTCTCATTACGGGGTGGTTAAAGAAACAGAGCCGGACACCAGTTAACCTAAGGCCTACCATGATGCTGGGTTAAAAGGGGGAGACTTAGCTAGAACCACGATGCTGGGTTATATAGGCTCACAAACATTTGTTAAGATAAACCAAGAAGCAATTACGGGCCTATCAGAGGGAAAGCTAGGCAAGATGGCTGAAGACCTCACAGCCGCATGTGACTGGTTTAAGCTCCTCAGATCTGTTGGCCCAAACTTGAAGCAATTATTATCTTGCCTGCTTGAGGACAAGGGTGTGATTCTACCTGATGTTCCTAGTGTTGGGTGGAATGCTGACAACTGGCTGCCAACAGCTTCGGATGACCGATCTGGACTCACTGGGTCCTTAAACATTGTATCAACGCATGTCATGTTCACTACTGACTACGTGGCAGACTTTGCCAAATTGCAACGTGACCATGTGCTACATTTTCAAGCAGCATTCATACATGGTTTCAACCTCCTTGCCTCAATACTGCACTGTCATGAGCTCCAGAAGAAGCGTTCTACCCAACACTGTCATGCAACTCCTATACCCGTGAGATCTTAGAGAAGGGGTGTAGCTTAAGCTGGAGACTATTTATCCAGGGATTCCTTTCTCAAAACTGCCAACTGAGACTACTACTCATATGCCGTCACGGGAAGGCGATCCAGCAATTGCAGTGTCCTATAGACTGGCAGAAGAAATCTTCTTATCATTTGCTCAAGAAGTTAAAGAATTGGGTACTCTTCTTGACTCGGGTCAATCGCCTAAACACTTGGAGAAGTTGTCCCTAAGCCATATTGCCTCTCTCCCTGGACTGTTTATATTTGTGCCATTTTGGTACATGGGGCAAAAATATAGAGGCAAAGTCTTGTCTGTAGCCAGGTATATCAGAGTTGCCTCTTACATACCAACTCTTCTCCAACCCTCAGGTGGGTCACTAAGGCCGTTTATAATCTGCTTGATGTCAATGAGACCTTCCATCTAGCATTTAAGCTCAAGTTGACTCCTGTTATAGCTTAGCCAGACATATCACTCAGGGAGGTGCTCATTTGTAAGTTACTTTTTGTAAGATTGCGACGATAAGTCCTGATGCCACCCAGCTAATGAGGAGGCTAAACATTACCAGGGTTGATAGTCAAGAGGTGCAAGCACCTGACGTGGACTCCTTACTAAGAATGCTGAAGCCTCTAGGCACAATCAGGACAACAATCACTGAGGTAAAGAAAACCACAGAATTTTGCCAAACCTCTCCTTGTCAAGCTCATCATAACGTGAGGTCTTTGCTCACAAGCCCCAACTGGCACTTGTCTGTACTCCTGAAGGCATATATAGCAGTGTTTGTATCCAAAGTACTTGTTCTCTCTCAGGACACTCCCTCTGAGGTCGTTCTAGACCTCTGCCATGTTTGTAGATAATTATTCACACAAACGGTGATGCTAGGTATTCAGAGAGAGTTATTGAAGATCTGTGTGGCGCTACCCAAGAGAATTTGTTGTCTGATTTTTCACTCGCCACTATTACTAGTGCTCAGCACTGCTATGATCATGCTAATTCTAGGATTCAAGGAGCTATCACCTACTGTACCTTCGAAAAGCCTGCATTGGTAGGACCTTGCCAGACTTATCTTGTAACAGGTTACTCAGGGATAACAGCTTATTGGTCTGTCAGAAGCTTCTTCTTTGCATCTTGAGCCTGGTGATTTGTGCTCCTCAGTATGTCCAAAAACTGACGGTATTTTCTGTGCCATTGTTGATGCTACACTGTCAGTACTCAATGCTGTAGTCTTACCCAACTGTTGCCAAGCATGTTCAGTTTGGAAGATCTGATTTCTCCCAGCAAGTTCTTGTTGCTCCAAGGCTAACTCCACTGATCCAGCAACTGCACTGCTATCTGGAGATGCTCCGCAGTGCAATGAAGATGAGGCGAAGGAATCCTCAGACTGATGTTTGCTTGCCCATGGCTTCTGGGGGTGTTCAGGTTTCATTATTTGGGGAAGGATTTCGCATACAAGTTCAATCTGATGTTCCTGACATGGGTTGGGTTGTCCCGCCTTCCAGTTGGGCTCTGGATAGGATGTCACCACTGTTGTAATCTAGTAACCATTGGGACCATTTAAGAAAACAAAAAAGAAAAAGAAAAAGGAAGAAAAAAAAACAGAGCCACAGCAGCGTTATATGCTGGGGCAAAACACTGAAAAAACTTAATTTATATTTAAATTTACCATTCTGTATATCAAATGCCTATTGGTTGAACAAAACTGTATTCAATAATTCACATTCTATAGCTTCATTCATCTAATACACAAAGCTAACTAGAAAGATTTATAGCTGAACACTGAGTTCCTAAGGCTGGTATCACATGTCATTCCCTGACAAAGTGAGAATTCATCAGCTGAGAACATAAGAGCCAAATTGAGAGTTGGATTTAAAATACCTTTCCCTTCTGTGTGTATAAGGAACACATTGCGTAGTGACCTAAAGAATATTTTGTGTTATTCAATTTTCTTTTCTGGGCAGACTACCACAGCACAGTGACTTTAAAAACCCAACTCCAAAACTCTACCTGACAGCCTGAGGAAGAGCAGTTGGGTCACAAAACCAGAGAGGACACCTTAGTCAATGACAGAAAGGCACCATCCTTGGCCCCTGCCAGTTTCAGGACAACTAAGGCCAATGAGGAGGGTTACCAATCAGTACTAGCAATTTAAAATAAACAACTGTTTGTACATACTTTTTCATACTTACATGTAGAAATGGGAGAGAGCAAGGAAAACAACATTGGGGTAAGGTAAAGGAAAGCCTGTATATACAGAACCTACAACTCTTCAAAAACTCTTAGGAATTGTATGATCTCAAGGTCAAATTTAAACCAGCAGGAATAGAACTGGAATTCCAAAGCCTCTGAAAAGAAAGTGCTAATAATAAACACTGCATTTTATGCACAGCTGATTTTATGCACCAGGAATGAAATGTTATAACACATCTATCATTCACATGTGGGCTCATGTAATTTATCTTCAATTAGGGTGATTATCTATTCAGCAGCTGAAGCCTAAGAGCTGCCGATACACTGCAGAAGAAACAACATTTGCTAGTCTCTCTGCTCTGGCCTTTCTTAGATGACAATACCGATCACTTGCCTGTAAAGCAGTTCTGGCTTACACACAGACAAGTTCACTGTCAGCATTTACACCGGCAGCATCACCTCGTTCCCTCTCACAGACTCCAGAGGTTCTGTGCAGACACTTCAGCTTATGGTTCTACAATTCAGTCCCAAATTCACATAGAAAACATGATGCAACTTTTAATCCAGGATTTACTCCTTTAAAATAAGTTGTTAAAGCTCTTTTTTAAAACAGATCTTTACAATATTTGAACTCTAAAGATATATGACATTTATAATTAAGTACTTTATCTCAACAGTCTTGACTCCTAAGGTTGTCAAGCCAGTGTCTAAAGCAGCCGTGGGCAAACTACGGCCCGCGGGCCGGATCCGGCCCGTTTGAAATGAATAAAACTAAAAAAAAAAAAGACCGTACCCTTTTATGTAATGATGTTTACTTTGAATTTATATTAGTTCACACAAACACTCCATCCATGCTTTTGTTCCGGCCCTCCGGTCCAGTTTAAGAACCCATTGTGGCCCTCGAGTCAAAAAGTTTGCCCACCCCTGGTCTAAAGTGTTCTAACTTATACTTTAGTGAGAGTGTATCTGTCTAAGCTCATGTTTAATAACACACATTGCCAATCAAGAAAGAAAAACACAACCCAGAAATCAAGGCAGATTCTCTAGTGCAGTGTTTACAAAAGTATGTTCAATGGATGTCAATAAGTCTTCAGATAAGGATATGTTCAAAGTGGTTTCAAAGGAATTCTTAGAACCTTTACTACGCCAATAAGCAGGTCTGCAAAGTCCCCAAATTATTTGTCCACAAGATCTTTTATCCCCATGAGCACCTCTTAGGAACAACACATCACAGAGCAGGACTTTAGAAACACAGTTTCACCATTTGGTGTATTCAGAAGCTTCACTAATTCCTCAGACTAGGAGACATCAGTCCATTTCTTCAATGACACAAATAATTGTTACAGTCTGGAATTTCAGACTCAGAAAGTGAACATGTGGGCAGGGTCGGGGGTGGGGGGGGGGGTAAACCTGTTTATCACACTACATCATTTTCACTTCCCTAGCAATATATGTTCAGAAATACCCATGGTTAACCACTCTTTCTAATGGCTGTGCACAACACCTGGGCACACTAACCAATATTCAAAGGCTGCTTAAAGCAAAAACAGTGAAATAAAGTTTTCATTTACTCAAATGGAAAGATGCACAAGTGCCATATAAAACAATTTATAATTACATATTTAGAACTGGTAATGCTGGTTACTACCCAGAAGTCTATACCATATAGACAGATAACACTTTAGAGCTATCTTCTTTGAAGCACTATGGAAAATTCTTCCCTTAAGGAGTTAGTTTACTTTAGAGCAGTGTTTCTCAACCTCAGCACTACTGAGATTAGGAGTTGGATAATTCTTTGTTTTGGAAAGTTGTCTTGTCCACTATAGGATGTTAGATGTCAATAGCATCCCACCAGTCGTAACAACCAAAAATATCCCAGATATAAGCAAAAATGTCCCAGATATTTGCTTGGATATAAGCAACTCATCCCCAGTTGAGAACCAATGCTGTTGAGAGAAAATTAAAGCTTACCCCTTGCCTACGCGTCTCTGGGAAGTGTCCATTTTACAGGCACACTGTGACTTGCATACATCCACAAACATCTAGAAATTAGTAGCATTAGAGACCTTTCTAAATTCTGTGTGATCAGAAACAAAAGTAATTTGTGAATGGTAGAGAATAGTTAGGAAGAAACAGTCTACACATTTCAAAAAGTATTGTGGTAATTTTACTGCTCTTATATTAGTAAAAATTATCTGAATCATAATGCTTAACTGACAAATATTTTCACAATTAGAAAAATGCTAATTGTGTATTATAATCCATTAAGGATCATAATGCTTGAGGCTATCTAAGAATAAAAAATATAACAATCATCAATGGCTAAATCAGGCCATATTCTATTCCTTGACCAAACATTCTCCATGACATTCTCAATTCAAAAATTTCAAGACTTGTCTTTAAACTGCGTGCTTATACTGTCACCTCATCATTTCTTTCAAATTATCAAAAAGAAACCCTTCACATGTCATGAAGAAGAATTCTCAAACTTGTCAAGAGATACATTCTCTAGTTTTAAACCCATTTCTTCAATAACCACATCTTCAGTTTTGTCATTGTCAACTCCAGATCCATCACTCTCTCTATTTTGTTCTTTTCTTACAATCTTGAAACACTTGTCCAGTCTCTTTATGAACAAGTCCACATCCTGTGTCTTCATTCCGATGGCTGACGCAGCATTGAGGTAGGCACAAGGGTAATCATTTGTATGTGACATGAAGCCTCGGAAAGTGTAGCCACTCACAGTTTGCACAGCCCCGAGAGGCACAACTCTAAAATGAAAAAAATTTACCAATTTGATATGTCTGGTGGTATTAGAGTATCACCCACAAACAAAAGATAGCTATGTTACTAAGCCTTACATCTACTTCTTAAGAAGTTTATAAACAGCCATAAATCATGGTCTATGAAAAAAAGACTGTCAGCCTTAAACTAAACAGTATACAACACACTCAATTTTACATGGAAAAGTGATTAATATTTACTTATCTCCTATTAAAGAGGTACAAACTCTAGGGACTGCAGACACCTATACATATTCTTCAAAGAGTTAAAAGAAAATTGTTTTGTAGCAAATATGGAATCTGACTTCACATATATATAAACTTTAATGGAATGGTGGAACTAGTACATCAAAATCACTTTGATTAACTGCCATGTATCACCTCAAATAATCAGAAACTAAAATTACACCTATCTGATCAGTGCTATGCAATAAGAGTTTTAAAGCAAGGATCCAAAAGAAATTATGTAACTGCTTACGGTGGGGCAGTGGTCAGCAATCAGTAATGGCACACGCATTTTTTTTAAGCTTGATTTCATTGGCACACTTGACATAAGCAGATTTCTAAGAGTCCTTTTTTATTTCTCAAAGAAGTCAATTAAGACAAACTTAAACATAAAGACAAATAGTGGCAACACTAAAAACAAAGCTAAGAAAACCATTTTAGAAGTATCAAACTATGCTGTGTTATATCAAGGTAAAAGCTGAATTCTCCTAAGATTTTTTTTATTTTAAAAAGTTGTCCTTTGATGTGAAATCTCTAACCTCTGGTAGTCAGAGGAAAGTAATAGAAGAATGTAAATAGGAATACTTAGAACAAGGTATTTCTTTTCAAGTCATTCTTCTTTGACATCATCAAATTAAAAATGAAATTAATTTTTAAACCAGGTACATAAAGGAGCAAAATGTACATTTTTCAAAGACAGTACTTAGACAAGAATTGCATAACATTTTTAGTTTAGGACATGGGCTTTTCCTTAAAAACACTTTCACTTAAATTTAGTAATGAAAATGACATTTCTAACACCGTTAAGTGACATCACTGAAGATTATCTAACAAAAAAAATAAAGACAAACATAGAGAGGTAATGAACTTTTGTTTCTGTATGTCTATTAAAATAAACAAGATTCATATCTTTCTGTGTCTATTTGAAGTGTAGGCAGTCCACAGGTGGGCATATAATAGACTTATAGATTCTCGACCTCAATATTTATTCCACGATGAATTCTCAGGGGTAGTTCAGCATATACTTAGGGGACTATTGTTAAAGAAAGGTACTTTATTAGCCAAATAATTTAAAAAGCCAAATCAATCCAAGCTTTTGAGCATAATTACCTGGCTCCAGAAACCTGTCTGGTAAAAAGCATTGAGCCAAGCTGAGTGACAGCTTTGTCACGGTGCTCATCTAGTGTCTTAAGTGTCATAGCTGAAAAAGAAAAAAGCAGGACAGTGAGCCTTGGTTCACCAGCAAAAAATCACTCAAAAAACAACACTTAATAATGAAGACATTACTTTTGTGTGTGTTAAAATACACATAACATGAAATTACCATGTTAGCCATTTTTAGGGTATGTTCAGTATTGTTAAATACATTCACATTGTGCAACCACCATCCATCCATCCATCCCTATAATTCTTATAATTTTGTAAAACTGAAACTGTATACCTATTATAAAATAACTCCCAATTCTCTCTTCCCTGAGCCGCTGCAACCACCATTATACTTCCTGTCTCTATGATTTTAACTGCTCTAAGTACCTCATATAAATGAAATCACTCAGTATTTGTCTCTTTGTAACTAGTTTATTTCACAGAGACATTACTTTGTATTCATTGTCAAGTGGCATGATTGGTATGCACTTAATAAATTATAGTAAGGATTTGCTTGCATATCAGACAAAAATACATTAATATAAATTAACATACTCAGAATTTCCGTATCACTTCTCTAAAGAGTGAATTTTCCAATTAAACAGATGAAACTATGACATGATCAATATGGCAGTTTAGTCAAATTCAACCATGTTTTAAGAACTTGTAAAATGAGAAAGTGGGATATATTTCAGCACATATAAAATATTAAATAAGATCAACTTCTGCAAATGAAAATGAAAATTATCTTTATGAGATTATGTGAGTAAACTGCACTCTGTTCATACCACCAATCACTGATACTAGGTAACATTTCCTAAGGATGGACTTACCATACTAGGTAGTTTACAAATATAATCTCAACCATTCTTTAATAATTTTGCACGTGAGGATTATTATCTCTATTTTATAGATGGGGAAAGGAAGTTAGGAGCTAGTACATGGCAGAATTGGGATTCAAATTATACCACATCACCTTCTATAGCATCTACATAAATTATAAACCAACAAAGGACTGGCTGGGCCAAATAGTTCTTCATGGAAGCCATTCCTGAAAAAGGTTTAAGTGACAAATGACTATTTACTAACTTTCCTCAGATATACCTGAAATATGAAGCATATTACACTGCACATATTCACAAAGTAAAAGGAATATAATGAAGCTTACAAGTTACTTAATTGCATAAAAGTCAACATTCATATTATGCTATTCAGCAGTTCTTGTCTACATGACAAAAATCATAGCCCCTACACAAAGAAAATTATCATAAATGTAGAATTCGCTAACACAGAGATGCTCAAGAAAACAAACAATAATAGCATTAAAAACAACATAAGAATAGCTTTAACTTCTAATATTATGGTGTTTGTTAACTGACAGAAATTTTTAATATTTATATCGAGTTCTTACTAGCAACCAAATGATTTTCATTAGAAGCAGGAATTAAAGTATTATTTTCTGTCTATTTGCTATAATACTTAATGTTGATTTGAATTCTTTCAGAATATAGTTTTTTTTAATCTTAGAAATACATTAAAGCATTTCCAAAGGCTAACTAAACCTTTTCAATTTACAAATTAATACTGTAATAAATTTAGAAATATCACTGTAACCAGAAGGAATTCATACTCATCTAGAAATACCAGCTTCCTGCTGGGGATGGTTCAGAAGTGCTGATTTTCCTTTTATTTTATTTTTTATTTTTATTTTTTTTAATTTTCCTTTTAAAGGAAAAAAATTACCTAAAGATATGGGGTTGTGAGGTGTATGCAGCAGTCTTTCATCGTAGGCTTCGGCCAGCTTCTTCAGTTGGATAGACAAATATGAAAACATTTCCTGCAATAAGAAAATGTTACACTTGAAAATCAAATAAGTATGTATTGAAACCTGCCAAATTTAATAAGACAAAATCTGACTGGTGTAAAGTCTGTGACATAAATTAAATTAAACTCATCCATGTGCCCCAGGAGCAATTCTTTACTTTGCTGCACTATAGTGAGATTCAAAGCTGCCACAATTATCAGAAACCACAGGATTTAGGTAAAGAAGGCGATGAACCAGCACATTTCCTGCTTTGGGGCTATCATGTATCCGTCACAAATTCATCCTCTTTTCAGAACCTCCAGGGCTCCTGCTCTAGTCCAAGTAGCTGTCGATCTCTGCCCTGGACCACAACAATACATTCTAAATGATTTCCCTGCCGCCCTTCCAGCCCCTCGACAATCTGTTCTACACACGGAATGGTCTTTTAAAAGCATAAATCAGGCCATGTCCCTCCCAATGACTACCTCCTATAAGGATAAAAATACAAACTCTTCACCCATAAGGCCCTGAACGATCTGGCTCAGCCAACAAGCACAACTCAGCAACTTACTACAGTGCCAGCCACATCGGCCTCCTTTCCAACAGCTGAACATGCCAAGCTCATTCTAGTGTCAGAACCTTCATGCCTGCTTCCCCTGGACTCAGAAGCTCTTCTCCAGTCATTCCGTGAGTGGTCCCTTTTGACACAGACTAAGAAGACCTTCCTTTATTACTTCCCCATTAAAGTTGCTTGAAGACTGTCCATTCTCAACTCTCAATCTCATTCCAACATCATTACTTATTTTGGTGTATTATACTTACCACAACCTGAAATTATCTCATTTATTTGCTTAAATGAATACTGCTTATGACAATTTACTAGAATGGAAAAACTCCCTGAAAGGAAGGACTCTGACTTCTTCACCACTGTTTCCTCAACACCAAGAAAAATGTGCCAAGCTTTTAGAATGAAAGTAACTTAGGAAGAGGTAGTTTAAAATGCATTTCTTTTAAATCATATAAACTTAATATTAACAATTCTCTAAACTCAATTTAAAAAGAGCAACTAAAAACTAAATATTGTATTCATGATCCTACTCTAGAGAACAATGCACAGCTAATAGTAGAAAATAAGGGAAAAATTTTTTTATAAGTACAAAATTTCATGTGCACATGTAAGAAGTGGGAGTTCAACCAAGTTACATATAAATATTAAATTGGCAACTGTGTGACCTAAAATTATACCTTTTTCTCCTAGTAAGCCCTTTCCAAAGTTTTGAAATGAAAATCTGTCCGCAAAAGTCTGCCCCTGAACAACCCATTTGCACTGACCTCCTCCAGCCAAAGTCAAAACCTATAAAGTCTATACACCTAAGAGCCCAGGGCCAACAGAGTACCCTGATGTGGAGACGGCAGGAAATGATGCTTCTCTAATTTCCAAGGTCACAAAAGCTGCTTCCGTTTTCTGTAAGGTAAGGGTTGCAGAGTCTGATCCCACACTGGGACTCAGAATAGCTTTTTCATGTCTAAAGCACATAGACGACTAACTCCAACCGTTGTTAGGTAAAGATTAAGAGAAGAGAAAAATTTCTACCAAGTTTATAAATTATTAATGAACCTACTGAAGACCACAAAACAATGTTGACACAATATATTTTATATGCTGACCTGAAATTTTTTTTAGCTAATTGTTGTTCTTGAATTTTTAGGGTATAATATCAATCTCGGCATGACAGAAATACGAAATCTTAGATCACTAAAAGAAGTTGATATTTTTATATTTAAAAAGTTAACATCCACATTTGTCCTATCTATTGAGCATGTAGAGAAATATTTAAGGAGACAAATGTTATCACCAGAAACAGAAAAAAAAAAGTTGTAGTAGGTATCTTTTTTTTTAACTTACTTTTTATTGTTGACACTATTACAGATGTTTTCATTCCCTTCCCCCCTTTACCACTTCCACCCAGCCCTCGCCAGACCCCTTCCCTCTGGCCATCACCACACTCGCGGTAGGCATCTTTTCTTAGACATATAAAAATTTCTGATCCCTCCTTCTTAAACTAGTTTCAATATTCACTTCAGAAGATGAAACAACAAAATAGAATAAAGAAGTTAAGAGTTTTCCAGCAACTGAAACAATTCATAATCTTTCAGCACACCAGTATTAAAAAGTCATGTTTTAATTTAGATATTGATTTTTTCATCTCTATTACAAGCCAAAGTCTTAATCTGCACCTGTCTCTCTTATTCTTATAAATCAACCTCTGAGCAGAAATAAATCTGATAGTCCAGAAATACCTTTCACAGACTCCTACGTTCCCCCCCTCCAATAGAAACAAGAAAACAACAACACATTTTAGAATTGAAGACCAATTTGAAATATTATTCTACCTAGTATGGCTGCCACAGTAATCACCAATGTGGTCACACTTATAGACACAACTGAACCTGAACAACACAGATTTGAACTGTACAAAGCCATATACATGCAAATTGTTTTCAATAAATACAGTCGGCCCTCTGTATCGCAAGTTCACATCCACAATTAAACCAACCACAAGTAGAAAAAAGTATTTCGATCCATGGTTTGGAATCTGTGGATAGGGAAGGCCTACTGTATACATTGCTCTACGCCCTTTTTATAGGAGGGACGAGGGCATCTGCAGATTTCGATATGAGGGGAGGGTCCTAGAACCAATCCCCCACAGATACCAACAGCCACTGTAGTTAAGTTTTAGAGGAATCAAAAGTTATACGTGGGTTTTGAACTGCACAGGGTGTTGGCACCCCTAACCCCCATATTGTTCAAGAGTCAACTGTACTTAATTTGTACTTAGCTACTTCTAAAAAGAGAAATGTTTCCTTAGTAACACCCCTAGTGGTGCTTTTAAACTTATTACTGCATACATGTCAATTAAAAAACTGAGATTTTTCCCAATGTTCAATTGGGAAAATACTTTAACAAATACTTTAACATATCAGTTTTAACTAAATTAGTTCTATCAATCACTTGCTAATACCACTAGAATTCAGTTTTAACTGCAGCTAACATTAGGATAAAAATCTTTAAACAGTAAGCATAATACTAAGGTAACTAAATCTCATATCACTACTATGGGAGTAATCAGAAAAAAAAGAAAATATTTATGAATCAAGTTCACATCCATCTGCAAGTATTTATAGTATCTCTACTCTGTGTAAAGGGTTATGAGAGGTAATCCAATAAGCAAAGAGGCTTAAATTATCTGAAAGCACGATATACTGAATCCTACAATATTCCACATATTAAGGTCCTAAATGTTCTCCCATTAATATCACTACCTTTAAAATAGATCGTTTAGGAGACTGTACCATTATTTCCTACACTAATACTTAGCTAAGCAGTTTTTTACCTGATATATTAAAGGCACTACAGAACCTGCTTGGCTTTTTTTTGCTACAGTTAAATCTATAGCTGACATTTATTATAAAATACTTCTGTAAAGGGAGAAATTTATTAGCACCCCAAGCAAATATATATAGAGAGATTGTACTTAAAAGAAATGAAATATTATTGATTTTCTATGTCATTTTTGCTGTATTTAACTTAATTTTAAAAGACTCTTCACTACAGATAAACTGAGCTGTATACCTGAATGCTAATGTCAGCTATATTTTCAGAATAAAAATACAAAACTTTACACCATAGTTCAAGATGTTAATGGAGGAGAAGTTGAATTATATTAAGCATTACCTTTCCTATGGCCTTTTGTAAATTGATTTGCAGTCATGAAGCCCAACATTCAGCCTACCCCTCCCCATAACCCAAAGTTGTGCATAATTCACTGTTTTAATGAAAAAGGTCTTATGTAATCATGTTTTTTAAAACATACTGTTTCATGTTCAGCTTAAGATATAAATAGAACTTTGAATATTACTACAGTATGCCTCACAAGGTGGGTAATACATCAAAAGGAAAACATAACAAATAGTCTAATCTTTCATTGGTAACATGAAAGGATGGATGGACAACCGGCTGCAAAGATGTCCATATTTGAAGATAACAGTACAAATGCAATGTGCTGCTCTCTATGATTGTGGCCAAATTAAAGGATCCAGACACACTCGGCAGTCTTTGCATCCTAGGCTAAAGTACAGCTTTCAAACTCTTCTGTTGTGGTCCCACATACAGGCCTGAAATCTCATGCTTTTGTTGAGATTCAACCACTCCACGTTTAGGGCTGCAGGTCTTCTAATGTTTCCAAACCCAGCTTTGCTATAGAATATTGTTTGGCCTAGATGTCTGATGTTCTTTTATAATGTAGTTTGTCCTCCAAGTGTCAACTACAAATTCCAGCCCCTGGAGCAGCCATTTGCTGCCATCCTCTTTCTGCACTTGTCCAATTCAGCAGATATTTGCAACCATGATTACCTGCCTGACCTGTCAACAAAGCACTCTTCTAAAAGGAAAGCTAAGCAGAATCATGGTCTTCTCCAGCAAAACAGAGGAGGATAAACTTCTAAGACTGATCTTTCTGTTTGCTTAGAGAAACTCAAAGAAACAGTCTCTTAAATTTAACCTCTTTCCTTAAAGGCTGTTTCAGTTAAATTCCTGGTCATTTCTCCCGTCAATGAAGCAGTGTGTTGAACCAGAAGGGGCTGAGGGCAAAGAGGCTCAATTCACACACATAGTTCCACTTCCTCTGATCCTTTCACCCTTCAAAAGAGACAGCTTGAGAAGGAATGGCTTCAAGCTGAGTTCTTGTCTGCCTCTACTGTGAGAAAGATAAAGCCTTATCTGAAAAGATACACTAGATGAAATAACCTCTAAAAATATCATTCTGGTGAATAAGGGCACAGAATAAAAAAATTCCAAGTTCTCTTTTAACACTCCTTTTTTTAGTACGCAATAACACCAATAATATAAAAAGGAGCTCTCAGTGATGGTATATAAATAGCTCTGGCTGGAACAAAATAGCTTTGCCTCAGCTTCTCCAGAGCTGAACCAATAAACTATCACGATTAAATTTTCACAGTTCAAAAGCAAGTCCATTTAAACAACAGAGGCTCTTACTTCTGCAACAAATCCAATAAAAAAACAATATTTATGCTACATATATGCAATTATGGTTTATGGAGGACATCGACATTTTTCAATGAAAAGACTTGCCTGTTGAATGAAGTTGTAAAAGAACAATTTTATTTACTTACAGTGACAGAGTTCTCAAATGAGCATTCTAATGTTTGAAGTCTACTACTGCAGATAAACTGTATTCTAAGTCTCTATTAAAAATTTTTAAATAAAACCAATTAACACAGAACAGAGCCTTTGGAGTTTTACATACCTCCACTAGATAAGAATGGGGCAGTCACAAGATCATCATTTTTATGGCTCAAGTGCCTAATACAGAGCAGGCAAACACTCCCCTGATACTGGAAGCAGTGAGAGCAGAGTGGTCAGACAGAAAGTAGAGACGGTAGCACCACACTAACCTGAGTTTCAATGGCAGTTCTGGCACTTACATGTGGTCCCTGAGCAAGTATTTAACTTTTCTGAGCCTCAATTTCATTTGTAAAATGGGAATAATGCCTACCTCAGAAACTTAGTCTGAGTAATATGAAATCATGAATATAATAAACCTAGCAGAGTTCCTGGAATACAGCATACATTCATAAAAATGTTTTCCCCATCCACCTACTTTTCCCTTAGCCTAAAAGAGGTTTCACGTTAAAATAACGAACATTACCTAGCAGGACTCCTATAGACTCATACTAATACCCGGTAGCTACAATCCTATCCTTATTCTGTCCCTGTTTATTCCACTCTACTCTATCTAGTTAAAAAGAAAAGAACAGCCCTAACTGGTTTGGCTCAGTGGATAGAGTGTCAGCCTGTGGACTGAAGGGTCCCAGGTTCGATTCCGGTCAAGGGCATATACCAGTACCTTGGTTGCAGGCACATCCCCAGTAGGGGGTATACAGTAGGCAGCTGATGGATGTTTCTCTTATCAATGTTTCTAACTCTCTATCCCTCTCCCTTCCTCTCTGTGAAAATCAATAAAATATATTTTTTTAAAAAGAAAAGAACAAAGTTCTGGGTGTTACAAAGAGAGCTGCTGCTTGCCATCTGACAGAGGTAGAAATGGATAAGGTAGCATGAAATTGAAGAGACCATCATCTTAAATTTTTCAGCCTTACAAAATGTTTGACTTATAAATTACCAATGTGACTTGTACTCGATTATTAAATTACAGGCCAATTACCATGATTATAATGCCATGGCCCAGGAAATAACTATTTTATTTTAAGAAATATTTACAGTTTTTTAAAACCAGAAGTGGTCTGAGATAGTTGATTCTTTCACAAACAAGAAAATAAAATCTGCAAATTCAAGTACCTTTTTCATAGAGAAACAACTAGTTAGGAAAGAGCTAAGACCCACTGGTATCTGATACAACTAAACTTTGAAGTGACAGTTTACCTCACCTACAAACAAAAGCTTCATCTGTCCTTTGAAGAAGGTTCCTTGAAGATTTTGAGGTCTTCTCTTGGCTACTACAATCTATGGCCATGATGATTACTTTATGAGAGTTTATCAAACTGAAGTTCTATTCTAATCATTTAAATTTTTTTCTCAGGTTTATCAAGGCATGATTTACATACAGTAAAATTTCAAATGTCCACTTTTCAGGTGTCCACTTCTATTAATTTTGAAAAACATATTAACAGTCATTAAACTACTTCCACAATTTATCACAATAGTTCCCTCCCCAACCCAAGTCACTGGCAACCATTCATCTTTTTTCTGTCCTGATATTTTTTGCCTTTTCCAGCATGGCATGTAAATGAAACCATATAAAAAATATGGAGAACTTAAAAAAAATTTTTAAAAGTTTTTAAAAAATGTAGAACTTTTGAGTTTGATTTATCTCATTTAGCATAGTGCATTTGAGAATCATTATGCTGTTGAATATATTAGTAAGTCTGTTCCTTTTTATTGCTGTGTATGTATGTACCACAATTTGTTTATACACCAGATGATGGACATTTGAGTTATTTCCAGGTTTTGGCAATTAAGAATAAAATCATTATAAACACTGATGTCTAGATTTTTGTACAGGCATAAATTCTCATTTCTCTTAAGTAGTAAGAGGTAGGATGGTTAGTTTACATGGTAAGTGAATGTTTAACTTTATAAGAAACTGCCAAAGTGTTTTCCAAAGTTGCTGTACCATCAGCAATGTCTGAGTTCTACTTGCTTAAGATCTCAGCCAAGATTTAAAGTGTCAGGTAGCTGTTGTTGTGTTTTTTTTATAGTAGCCCTTTTAATAGGTGTGTATGTAGTGGTATCTCACTGTGGGCTTAATTTGCATTTCCCTAATGACTAATGATACTTAGCATCTTTTCTTATTCATGTAAATTTTAAGAGATATCCTCACAAGTAAATAATTACTTTCCTATAGACTGAATAAGTGGGGTAGGGGAACTAGGGTAAAATAGGGCACAAAAACTTTATAACTTATCCATATTCATAAAGCTGTTGAGAGGATCTGATAATAAAAATATTTTAAAATATGTAAAGTATTATTAGAAAATCCAAGGTGCTATAATTACTACTAAGTACTAAAAAGTTATACAGACACAAACATTGCACCAGGGGCCTCTAGTCCTCCCAGAAGAGAAATGAATGAATCATCTTAGTCTGACTCACCCTGCCAATACTGTCTCTGTCTACAGTTTGGAGCTGTCCTGAATTAAGCTAATTTTTAGTGTTAAAGACAAAGCCCAGTTTTCAAGCACAAATGTCACTTTTTTTTTCAAAGTCAATATAACCAATGAGTTCAACATTCCAATAATGGCAAGGGATAAATTTATTATTTTAGAATGAGAAACTGGCCAACTTCTGACCTGGTTCTTCCTTCTTTGACTGATGTCTCATGCCTAAACAAGTCTCCAGGCTTCCAAAAACTAAAAAGAAAAGCCTTTTCCATTTGTCTTTCAAGAACCTCTATCTAAATGATAAATGAATTGAATTTTACTGAACTAATAAGAATCCCTGATATAGGAGTTTCTCAAGACAAACAAAAAAAAGCAAAATCACCTGTCCAAGATTCCTCAAATATCTGGATAAACAGGATGACAATGACTAATTGCAAACCATCTATGGTAGTTCCAGATCAAGTATATCCCGCAGGACTGTACTAGATATCTATTATCCAAAGTGATAAACCAATAGGCAAAAACACCAATGATTTGGAGTACCGTCCAAATACTAGTCAGGAGTATTATTTTATAGCTAAAAGGAAAAGCTTACCTTTCTTTCTTTTAATAGCTTCTTATAGCCATTTGATCCAAGTGATAATAAAGTAATAAGGACATCTAAAGAAGGTGAAGCTGAAGCTCTTCCTGAAATAAGAACAAGTTACACTCAGGAGAGTAAAAAAGCTTTGGAAATTCAGATTTATTATAGTAGTCTATGTACAAATGGATTTTTGTTTATTAGGTACTTTTTCTGAAGAGCAACTAATTTATTTACCTGGATACATCTTGCTGATTTCCTGAATGAAGGAATCATTAAAGCCAGCAATTATAGCGCCACCTACTGGAACCATAAAATTTTTGTCCAAGCTCTGAACGAAAGCGTCTATTCTACCAACCCGAGCCCCCTAGAATGAAATAACATGTAGTTTTACATATTCATTTCTAGAAGAAGAGACAACAATAGCTATTAATGAATAAATACCATTAAAATAATGCAGAAAATAAACAATTTCTTTGCAAAAATACCAGTAATATATTTTTAAGTATTAAACTGAGTTTTTAAATGCTCCGCCTTATATGTGTAAGAGCACTTTATAGTTTACAACCTGCTTTCACACAAAAATCATTGAATCTTCACAACAACACTGTGAGAAAGGCAGGGTTTCAATATTAGTTCAGGTGGAAACTACAATGAAACAGAGCTTTTCACACCTTAAAATTGGGTATTAGAGTGTGGATTCCTCCTGTGCCTCTCATCTCTGATCTTCTATTAGGCAATAAATGTCATCAGTGGGCCCTAAAACTATTAAGTAATTGTAAGCACCCTCTGGGAGGTTAAGAGTGGCCACCATAATCTAATGGACTGCAGCCACCCATGCTGCCAATCAATTAGCTACACATTGAAGTGCCCCTCTTTGATTCTTGGATAACCTACTAACTGCATGATCACTCAAAGCAATAATTCTGCTCCTACCACCACTCAGATAACAAAAGAGAAAAAGAAATTTTTATTTTTAACATCACCTAATGGATTTTTTTTGTATACTCTTGGCAATGTTTCTACATTAACTCATGATTCCTAATGTTATCATCTTAGATGATCTCATTCCACTGCAAATGAACTTCAAGTGAAAATCTAATATTCTAGTGAAAAATTGAATACTTACTTACCAGAAATATAAAACCAACACAGTCCCCATCCAACACAGTCTATGACCTTCTGTCTAATGTGCTTCAATTTTCTCCTCTTAAAAATAGAGATACTATCTAAATTTCAACTAAGATAGTTTATTTGCTTTATCTGTGGGGACAGATTTTCAATCTGTATTCAGAATCTACATTCCTACTAATATAACCGCCTTTGACCTTCAGCTTCACACTTTCTCTCCACGTCCATATCTCAGAAAGAATGGAAGCAGCAGAGAGCTGCTCTATCTCGGAGACCAGATCCAGGCAACAGGGAGAAGCTGCAAAGGCTGCAGGCTATCACATGATTAAGTCTCCACCTTCCCGTTACTCTTCTAATTCTTCATAAACTGTGATCAGAGAAAATCTCACATCACAGGAAAACAGAAGCATGTAAGACTAATAGAATAAATAACTGAAAAACATACAAAATAATAGTACATAAAATAAAGTGGAAGTTACAGTTGCCTTTTATGAACATTTAAGTACTACTGTCCAAGGCTTCCTGAGAGAAACATGAACCTAAATTGGGAGCAGAATTACTAAGAACAATCAGTGTGCCAGCCTTTGCTAAGCCCCTTCACCACTAAACACAGAAAGCCCTGAAAGGGCAGCACACCTTGTGGCAAGGAAAGACAAGCTGGACCTAATCCCAGAAAGGGTATACAGACCTCATGCTCCATTATCAAAGAGCAGGAAAAAAAGATTTGAAGGATGGAAGCGATTAAATCGAATAGGAAACACAGAAGTATGTTCTATGAAGTAAAGAGTTGCCATTTATCGGTTCATCCATTTACTCATTTATTCATAGAACAAATATGTGGGCACTTAACATTTGCCAAACATTGTTCTAGGTTCTGGGGATAGCAGCAGTGAATAATACTAACCGCTGACCCTTGAACAATGCGGGGAATAGGGGTACTGTGTGCGGAGAATAACTGAAATTGGCCCTCCACATATGCAGATTCCCAACTGCCTGATTCCAGGAGAGGATCCTGGATCACTCCATCTACTGACACCACCACCCCCCCGCCCCTCGCCAAAAGATGAGGGCATTAACCAAGACCTGTCATACTTATTGTTTACTGTCTGCTTCTGCTCCATAAGGACGGCATTTTGTTGTACTCACTACTGCATCCCTAGCATCTATCCTGTTGCCAGGCATATCAGTGGGAACCCCATAAATATCTGTTGAATGAACTGACAATTAGGTCCGTGAATAAGTAGTATAAGACCTACTTCTCTCAAATTCTTAATATGCAAAGTTGCTGCTCCCTACACTTTGGATCTTTATAATCCATTCGGACTCTAAATGTCTGAATTAATTATATGTATTTTTGTAATTCTACTATATCCCCTACCCTCTATTAAGCTGTCTTAACATCCGTATTCCATGAGTCTCCTAAATTAGTCAGTTCAGTATATAATCGTAAGTATGGGTTCTGCAAAGCTAACTTCCTGGGGACTACATGTGCATATAGGATGTTCTGTATGCTCAGCGTTAAGTCGTTTGGAGGCACTGCCCCTTAAAAAAAGAGAATCCTGACACATTTTAGTTATAGCTCTTGCTTCACTGGTTGCCTCATTATTGTAATACATGCTTCCCAAGAAAGTATTTGCAGTTTTAGTACTTTGTCTTTTAGAGCAAAATAAAAGTTTCGGATCTTGGGCAAGTCACTAAATCCAGCTGAGTTTGCTTCTTCATTTGTAGAATGAAAACAATAAGAAGTACACCTTAAATTGTTAGGTTAAGCCCCTGGTCGGCAAACTGTGGCTCACGAGCCACATGCGGCTCTTTGGCCCCTTGATTGTGACTCTTCCATAAAATACCACTTGCGGGCGCGCACGTACAGCGCGATTGAAACTTCGTGGCCTATGTGCAGAAGTCGGTATTTTGTGGAAGAGCCACACTCAAGGGGCCAAAGAGCTGCATGTGGCTCGCGAGTCGCAGTTTGCCGACCACTGGGTTAAGTTAACAAACTTGAAAAGTCTAACAGGATGCTTGGCACATGGTGGGTAATGAGTAAATAGTATATATTATTAATAAAAATTTATTAGGGAGAATTAAAGCTAACTAATTTTTTTTAGAATGACATGAAACAGCAACCAGCCCTCAGTAAGATCCAAGTACTTATTTGATTTAAAGGAACTGTGCCGCCCTTGCTGGTTTGGCTCAGTGGATAGAGCGTCAGCCCTGAAGGGTCCTGGATTCAATTCTGGTCAAGAGCACATGCCCAGGTTGCAGGCTCGAGTCCTAGTAGGTGTCGAGGCAGCCAATCAATGATTCTCTCTCATCATTGATGTTTCTATCTCTCTCTCCCTCCCTCTCCCTTTCTCTCTGAAATCAATAAAAAAATATATTAAAAATAAATAAATAAAAATAAATAAATAAACAAAGGAACTGTGCCACCACCTCTATTTGTGAGGGGAACTTTGGGGAAAATGGAATGTTTATGTACTGCTTTATTTTATTGTGAATAAATGATAATTTTAGAAGTTAACACAGTAACTCCAACAAGTTTTAAAAATAGCTACATTTTTAAAAATTTATTCACCTATCTTATAGTGTTATTATCTCATTAAAATTTTAGTAAAACCATCTCATGAAGAGAAGTGGTGACAGAGTACAGTATTCCTGATTCACAACTACAAGGGAAACTTTTATATTATATCCTGAAGCTCATTTTCTTTTAGTCTTAATCTCTTTGAATATGCCACCAGATTTCTAGTATTCAAAAATATGTGTGAGCACCAAAAGAGTACTTCCAGGTTAGTAAACAACATTGCAGTAAATGTAAATGAGCCATTAAAATTATCATTATAAAACTTTATAGGCATGTAGAGATAATTTAAGTTTATGTTTAAGTTTAAAATTAAATATATTTTCACTGTTTTTAAAAGTTAATTCTAAATGTACACAATTACTGTAACTATATAAAGAGCAATAAACGTATATAAAATAAGAAAAAAGTAGATATATAGATTACTATGATTATTTGTTAAGGTAACAGGGTTATAAATAAGCTTCTACTTTCTCACTTTTCTAAACTTTTAGTAATGCTGATATATTTGACTTTTAAAAGAATTGAAGCTGCTAAAATTTAAGGAAAAGGGGAGAGAAGGGAGAATGAGGGAGTTGGAATAAAAATAAATCACTGAAATTAAATTATTTTTAAGATTTCCAGCATCGAGAATTATAAAACCTTCTTCTGCTACCACTCAAAGTAGATACAATCTAGTTTAGAATTGTGATGAAGCCTTAAAAAGTTAAAGAAGCCCTAACCAGTTTGGCTCGGTGGATAGAGCGTCAGCCTGCAAACTGAAGGGTACCAGGTTCGAGGTCAAGGGCACATGCCCAGGTTGTGGGCTCAATCCCCAGTCGGGGGCGTGCAGGAGGCAGCCGATCAATGACTCTTTCTCATCATTGATGTTTCTATCTCTCTCTCCCTCTTCCTTCCTCTCTGAAATCAATAAAAATATATTTTAAAAAATGAATTATTTTTTAAAAAGTTAAAGAATAAACACTGGCCATGTGGCTCAGGGTTGCAGGTTTGATTCCTGGTCAGGGCACATACCAGGGTTGTGGATTCGATTCCCGGTCAAGGTGAGAACAGGAGGCAATGGATCAGTGTTTCTCTCTCACTCTCAAATCAATTAAAACATATCCTTGGATGAGGATTAAAAAAAAAAAAGTTAAGGAATAATAGGAAAGGATTCCAAGGAAATGGTAGCTCTTACAAAACACTGACATACAGTGCCTACAGAGTACTCCACCCCTGGACTTATGTAAACAAATCTATTTCCTTACTGGTTAAGCTAATTTGAGTGGGAATTTCTGTTACTTTCAGCCAATTATATCCTAACTGGTACAACCTTTGAGTAAAGAAATTAGTAAATTGGCTACTACTATCATATAAACCACATGTATATTAGAGATGATACTAGTATACACAAATAATAAAAAACAAAAAATTTACCAGATAAGATTTACTGGGCTAAGGAGCATTCACCATCACATTGGAGAAGACCACAGATAATCTGTGAATAATCTGTGTCCACATGACATTAAATCATATGTATTTCAAAACTAAATGTGATTAACATCATTATGCACACAAATTATATAACTCATACCATATAGGGGTAATATCTATCCCTACCCTAATACAGTATGAATAATTAATCACTATAAGTAAATATAATGCTTCATTTATTCATTCCCTTTTTTCAGTAACTAATTATTGAGTGTCAATTATGTACCAGGTACCATCCTAATTATCTATAATAATAAAAGCATAATATGCTAATTAGACTGGATGTCCTTTTGGACGACCTTCTGGATAAAGCTGGGTCTGCAAGGGAAGCCCAGGTCCCGGGTGCCTGGCAGCGGCCGGAGGGAAACCGGTGCCAGCAGCCGGGGGAAGGAAGGCCTACTCTTGCATGAATTTCATGCATCGGGCCTCTAGTTAAGGACATAACAGTAAATAAAACAAAGACCTTGCCCTAACAGAAACTTAATAACTTGACAATAAGAAAATAACCTATTAAATGGTAATAAGTGCTATGGAGAAAAAGAGCAAGAGGCCATCAATTTTAAGAAGCAACATTATTTTACTAGTACATACCACTAGGTAAGAACAAAACTGCCAATTAACATTATAAGATGCCAATGATTGTAAAACATCCCTATTTCAGAGATGTTATAAAGTGAAAAAATGTGCACCTTAAAATCAATGAAAATGGTAAAACAGGAAAAGGGGGGTAGAAATTCTGGCAAGGGAGAGGGAGGGGTTATTTTAGATAAGGTGTCTGAGGAGGTCTCACTGACCTAAAAAAAAAGGTGAAGTAAGAAGCCACGCGACTCTCTAGAAGAGCAATCCAGTGAGAGGGATGAGCAAGAGCAAAAGCCTGGCGGTGTGCGCACATGTAATGTGACAGAGGAACGGAAAGGAGGCATGTGCAGTGAGACCATGGGTAAGAGGAGAGCAGTAGGAAATGAAAGCAGAGGAGCTGCAGAGGCCTGAATACAAAGCCCCGCAGGCCATGGCTACGACTCTTATTTTGAATGGGGATGGAAAACGCAAGGATATTTTCAAAATAAGAATCCCAAAATAAGATGATTGGGATCTAGTTGATGCTTATAAAAATAAAATAAGTCAAAAATGTTTTAAACTTTCTTACTCCATAGTTACATAATAGAACTAGAGGCCCGGTGCATGAAATTCCCCTCAGCCCAGCCTGCACCCTCTCCAATCTGGGACCCCTGGGATCGGGCCTAAACCGGCAGTCGGACATCCCTCTCACAATCCGGGACCACTGGCTCTTCACTGCTCACCTGCCTGCCTGCCCAATCACCCTTAACTGCCCACCCTGCCAGCCTGATCACCCCTAACTGCCTCTTTGTGCCGACCTGATTGCCCCTACCTGCCCCCCTCCCCCCCGCCGGCCTGGTCGCTCCCAACTGCCCCCCTGCCAGCCTGGTCGCCCCTAACTGCCCCCCCTGCAGGCTTTGTCGCCCCTTACTGCCCCCCCTGCTGGCCTGGTCGCCCCCAACTGCTCCCCCTGCCGGCCTGGTCGCCCCATGCAGCCTACTGTTCAGTCATTTGGTCGTCCCTCACTAACCCCCCTGCAGGCCTTGTTGCCCCACACAGCATGCTGTTCTGTCATCCGTCTGGTTGTTTTGGTCGTGACGGCCCCTGGCTTTTTATATTTTAGGATGTTTATAAATGAAGTCATTTCCAGTCTAAGATAATAAGGTAAAGTGTTTTCCTTAAATATTCATATTAAATCAATATAGTTTTAAAAATACCATAATCCAGTATATTACAAAAATGAAAATAACTCAGAAAGTTAAAAACTAAGCTCCTGAAGTATTTCTATGTTGGTTCAGACCAAAGCTATTAGTACAATTACCACCATACTACCAAAAAATGACTTTTACTGAATGAATATTGTATGCAAAATACTAATGCTCCATAAAATAGAGGGTGCTAGATAACTGTTTTTACAATATTAGATTGCAAGAAAAACAAAGGATTAATCATATATGTTAAAATCCATTTTTTCTTGACATATTTTTAAAACTCTCTTACCTGCTGAATGAGGTGCATACACTTTGAAGACTGCAATCCATAAGCATTGTTGACTATATGTGGAACACCATAAGAAGCACAAATCACAGCCAGTTCTTCTAATCTACAAACATAAATATATTCAATATAAAGACCAATCCATATTATGCTTTATAAATTACAGTGTGAAAACTAATATAATAGTTATTAATGTACATGAGGAAAAGATGACAAAACTGGAATTTCTACAGCAGTATTTTAGCATATAACTAGAGGCCCAGTGCACAAAATTTGTGCACGGGTAGGGTCCCTAGGCCTGCCCGGCGATCAGGGCCAACTGGGGCCAGGCCAATCGGGGCCTGCCGGCAGCGGGGAGGGACAGGGCACAGGAGGTTGGCTGCCAGCCCCGAGGAAGGAGCCGGCCCTCAGCCCCCCTGGGAAAGGGGCTGAGTCCTCCACCACCCACCCCCGGTTCCCCATCCCAGCCCGGGGCCTGGCCCCACAATGCTCTCTGTCCAATTAATGAACTAATAAAGATAATATCTGCCCATCCAAATTAAGACTACAAAAGAATTAAGCTTAATTTAAAGACATCAAAATTTTTAACTGTAATAAAACCAGAAATTCAGACATACTAATAACGATGCAGCACCACTTTCCTAAAGTTCACTCTTGTAAGAAATACTCACCATATAATACCACTGAAAAGTGGTATATGAGAATTTTACTGATAAAAAACTTCATACATGTAAAATACTTAATACTGCACCAGGCATACAGTAAACATCCAAAAAGAGCTAGTCAAGATGGGACAGAAACAATACTATCCTCAAGGATAAATAATCTAACTAACAAATATCGATATGCTGTTTTTGGAAATGTGATTTATTTCTATCACATTAAAATTTTTCTAGATAGCAAAACCATCAATGAAAAAGAATAGGGATGTTTAATTTTTCAATGTAAATTTAAAATATGATTGGTAAGTAATAAATAAAGCATATATAATACAAGGTGGGGCAAAACTAGGTTGGCAATTGTGAGTATGTGAAACAGTTTATTCTTATATTATTAATTACTAGAGGCCTGGTGCACAAAAATTTGTGCACGGGGGGGGCGGGGGGGGGGAGCCCTCAGCCCTGCCTGTGCCCTCTCACAGTCTGGGACCCTCGGGGGATGACCACCTGCTGGCGTAGGCCTGCTCCTCAGGGTATTGGGCCTAAGCTGGCAATCAGACATCCCTCTGGCAGCCCTTGGGGGATGTCCACTTGCCAGCGGGGAGCAGGCCTAAGATGCAGTCGGACATCCTTAGCACTGCTGAGGAGGCAGGAGAGGCTCCCATCACCACCGCTGTACTGGCAGCCATCAGCCTGGCTTATGGCTGAGCAGAGCTCCCCCATGTGGGAGCGCACTGACCTCCAGGGGGCAGCTCCTGCATTGAGCGTCTGCCCCCTGGTGGTCAGTGTGTGTCATAGTGACCAGTCATTCCCAGTCTTTCTGCTGTTAGGGTCAGTTTACATATTACCCTTTTACTATATAGGATAGAGGCCTGGTGCACGGGTGGGGGCCGGCTGGTTTGCCCTGAAGGGTGTCCCGGATCAGGGTGGGGGTCCCGCTTGGGTGCCTGGCCAGCCTGGGTGAGTGGCTGATGGCTGTTTGCAGCTGGTCACACCCCCTTCAGGGTGGGGGTCCCCACTGGGGTGCCTGGCCAGCCTGGATGAGGGGCTGATGGCTATTTTCAGGCTGCCCGCACCCCCTTTAGGGTGGGGGTCCCCACTGGGGTGCCTGGTCGGTCTGGATGAGGGGCTGAGGGCTGTTTTCAGGCTGGCCGAGCCGGCGACGGAAGCTCCCAGCCTCTCCTTTTTTTCCTTTTTTTTTTTTTATTCTGGGATTTATTTACCTTTTATAATTAAAACTTTGTTGCCGCTCCAGCTCCCAGGCCAGGGCCTGCTGAAAGCAGGTATCTGGGGTTTGTTTAGCTTCTCGAATTGCAACTTTGTTGCTTAGAGTGGAGCTCAGAGCCCAGCTGCAGCAGGAAGGAAGCTTGGCTTCCTCCATCACTGGAGCAAGCAAGCCTCCTGCTCGCTTCAGCTGCGTGGCTGCCGGCCACCATCTTGATTGGGTTAATTTGCATATCCTGCTGATTAGCCAATGGGAAGCGTAGTGGAGGTATGGTCAATTACCATGTTTGTCTATTATTAGATTAGATTGTATTATTTGCAATATAATCTTAAAATTCACAGACTCATGGTTGGAGCAAGGCAAATTTTCATGAGCGTAGTTTTAAAATTATCTCTTATCTTTATATAAGATAGTAAAAGCCAATATGCATTCATTACTGCCAAATTATGTGATTCCATGGAAACCAAAGTATAATTTGGTGCTACAAAAATAGTAAACAAAGTCAATATAATTTTAACAAATTACTAGTATTTTATTCAAAATGTTAAAATGAAACAAAGACTTGTTATCAAAACTAGAAATCTGTATTCCTATAACTAAGCATATTACATTTTCAGATTAAAAATTTGTGGCATCCTTTAGAAAAGTAAACATTTGCTTTTTTCCCCTTTACTTTTATTTTCTTAAACATTTGCATTTTTCTCAGAATGCAAAGGCAACCACTGTGTATACCCAAGTGTACATCTGTATTAATCTTCCAATTAAAAAATATTCAAAGGGCAACAAATAATTCTAAAATTTTCTGTTTAAAATCTGTTACTACTAATAGTTCCTACACAGGAAAACTGTTAGATCAAAGGAGTAGAGATAACAATGAAAACAAGTAAATCCACTATTTTGTTTAGAAACTTCTATTACATAATGAGGGAAAAGATGCTAAGAAACTTGAAACAGAAAAAAGAGCAAGAAACAGATGCTCTGCATCTACTCGGGTGACAAAGGAATCTCCACTTGGTACTTGTTGTTTTTCCTTCTTCTATATCAAATTTTTATTTTCTCAAGAGATGATGCTGTTTCTCAGTAAGTAGCGCTATTCTACACAAGATCAATTTATTCTCTTGGAACAGTCCATTCACCTATTTACTGCCAAATGTTACTTAAGCATCTTTGAAAATTAGTATATGTATACTTTATTTAAAAGATTGATGAAATCCTAGCCAGTTTGGCTCAGTGGACAGAGTGTCAACCTGCAGACTGAAGGGTCCAGGGTTCAATTACGGTCAAGGGCACATTCCCAGGTTGTGGGCTCGGTCCCCAGTGGGGGCGGCCAAGAGGCAGCTCTCTCTCTCCTCCTTTCCCTTCCTCTCTGAAATCAATAACAATATATTTAAAATAAATACATAAATAAAATAAATATATACATAAAAGACTGATGAATACCTAAAGGACAATATTCACAAATCATTTACCTGTCAGGTACCCTTGGAGCAAAACACGATGTAGTAGAATGAACACAAAGCACGTTATCAGACCCAAGTTCCTGGATTTTAGCTTCTACTGCTTTCAGGTCTGTGCGCAGCTCATCGCCTTCTAAAACGTTCTCTATCACCACGGGCTCAAAACCTAACCAACCAAATTAGAAATCAAAATATTAGTGTAAACTAAATAAGAGAAGACCCTGAAACTCTGGGAAGTAGCGCTATTCTACACAAGAACTCTAAATACTTATTTTGGTCGAAGAACCCTCCTCTAGCAATAAAGACCTGGCTCAACACTGGAATGAGTCAAAGGCAGGTCAAAATAACGTGAAGGACCACTAGACTACAATTAGGACCACAAATCTATTTAGCACTTTGATATGACAAAAAAGACTAATTCTGGGAAGTAAGGAGAACATGTTAAATATACACCTATAAAAGTAGTAACAGCCACTGATGACAAAAATGATCACTACTCCACAGAAAAATAAATCTACACATTCTCTGGCAATGCTTAAGTTTTATTTTAAAGTTCACTTCATTTCAGATATGAATAAAAATAACTCAAGTATTGAAACAAATCACAATCATCAACTTAATATTTTACCTCTAAAGAAAAGGTAATGCATTTTAGTAGCCTAGGGATCAATGACTCATTTCATAGCTTACAAGGGCCTTCTATAACCTAAATATAAAAATTGTTTTTTGCCCTGGCTGTTGTGGCTCAGTTAGTTAAGCGTCGTCCGATGCACCAAGAGGTCACCAGTTCTATTCCCAGTCAGGGCACATGCCTGGGTTGCAGGCTCAATCCCAGGTGGAGGGGCGTGCAGGAGGCAGCTGATTGATGTTTCTCTCTCATTGATGTGTCTCTCTCTCCCTCTCCCTTCCTCTCTCTAAAATCAATAAAAACATATTTTTAAAAAATTGTTTTCAATTTTCAATTGAATTAGTACACCTAACTAGCATGTGATCAAAGGTCCCCCCAAATAATAACTATGTAACCTTGTATGGTAAATACTTAGGTATCCGTAAACTTAAAAAGTTGTATAAGCAAAATATACACTAAATAATGTACAAAGCACTTATATAACTACTAAATCACGCGGTGCCACCCACTCCCTCTCCGGCCCTTGAAGCAGCCACTGCCGCTGCTGATCAGGCCCTCCCCCAGCTCAGGCGCGCGCGCGCGGAGGCCCCTGCGGCCCCGCCCCCAACGCTGCCCACGCAACCTCCTCCTATCCAGTCGACCTGTTACAGTGTCCCAGTTAATTAGCATATTTCTCTATTTTATATATATATAGTCCTCTGTGATACTAGTAAATACCTAACAAAGCAAAACCTAGGATAAAAGTAAAACCTAAAGGTTTAAGTCTCAGAAATTGGATAGAAAATAAACCTGGGAAATTTTGCACATAAAGTTATTATGCAGTCTCATCTTCAGTCTTCCCAAATACCAAATCTAGCAGCAGGCTAGATTCATGGATTGAAAAGCCTAAAGGATTTAGAAATCATTTAGCTCAACTCACTCATTTCAAAGATAAGGGAGCCAAAGTTCAGGAAGATTAAGTGGTTTCCCCAAGGTCACACAGCAAGTTAGAGCAAAGTTAAGAGCAAGTAGTTTTCTTTTGAGTTTTAGAATCCACACCAAGTTGTCTGCATTCTATCTACAGAAATATAAAACCCTGGCCGCTATAAAGTCATCATTTCAAATACGTGGTTCAGAGGTATCCAGGTTTTTTAAATACATACCTTCAAAGCTATTAAAACAAATATACAAACTTTAATAAGTTTCCTGAAGACAGCTAATTTTACTGTTTTTCAAATTCTCTAGACCCAACTCTATTTTGCTTTCAAGCAATTAAAATACAAGTTGTGGTGGTTTTTTTTTTACAAATACAATAATCTTGCTTCCTAAGAATAGAGGCTATCCTGAAAAAGAATAAACTGTAAATCATAGGCCAACATCTTTTGGAAAATAGTTTTCAGTTTTTCAATAAGGCAGTCTTTTCCAAATTCCAAGAATGTGGTTATCAATTCTTTGGTTAATAGGATGCAAATTAACAGACTTGATAACTTTACACCATTTAAAATAAATCAATGTATTTTTTGAAGTCTATCAATTTCTGCTATATGTCCCTATTATAAATCCTTTTACATGAGCTTCTTTAGAATTATTTATGGAGTTCAATTACAGCCCAATACTGTTCATTTCATACAACACACTGAAGTCATTCAAAAATAATGTTAAATTCTCAAATTCGACTTGACACACACATGCACGCGCATGTACAAGCACACACACACACAGAATGGAATGTCAGTCAGTCTTTAAAAAGAAAATTCTGACACGTAGTATACCATGGATTAAAGCTTAAAGGCATAAGTAAAATAAGCCAGTCACAAAGGGAAAACACTCTAGAGTAGTCAAATTCATAGAGACAGAAAGGAGAATGATGATTGCTAGGGACTGGGAGCAGTGGGAAGGGGCAGTTACTGTTTAATGGGCAGAATTTCAGTTTAAGAGGATGAATAAGTTCTGGAAATGAATGGTGATTATAGTTGCACAACAATGTGAATGTACTTACTATCATGGAACTGTACATTTTAAAATGGTAATTTTATGTGTATTTTATCACAATAAAAAGAAATAGGTTTAGTTTCTTTTCATTTATATATCTTTACATAAAAAGTTTGAAATGTCTAACTGATACTGAATACATTATACTAGTATACAACATGTCTCTTCTTTTACCTGCAGTGATCATGGATTTAAAGCAGGACTTCTGGTCTATTCGTGGCCATATAATATACTTTGCCTTTGGTCTTTTGTGTCGTAATGTCAAGAAACACAGAGTTAGACTCATACCAGTTGCCATAGGCACTACAAAGCAATTGGTCACTGTATGGACACCTAGGAATAAGAAGTAAAACAGAAATTAGTTATTCCATTGAAAAACCAGCTTTCTTCTTGAAGGAATTATATACTTCTAGCAAATAATAAGAGTTGTAGATTTAGTGCTGCTTCTTCTTTACTCACTCTCAGGAAGCTCACTGCCAATTTCATCCTCCATGCTTATGATCTAATTTTCTATCTTATTCTAAAGGTTTTTATACATACATTAGTGACCTGGTGCACGGATTTGTGCACATTGAAAGGAAATGTATTAGAAGGTGGCCAGCGGGGTGGGACTGGGCGAGATGGGCCGGACATGCCCTGGAGCCAACTTCCCATGGTCCCTCCCCGGCCCGCCACACCTGGGGCGGCGCCATGGCTCGAAGGGCGTCTGCGGAGTGAGCAGGGACCCTCTGGCAGGTGGGGTCCCTCAGCCTGGCCTTCGGGATAGGCCGAAACTGGATCTCCGACATCCCCAAGGGGCCCCAGAGTGCGAGAGGGCACTCGGCAAAGTTGCTGTCATACAGGGTGTGCAACACAAACACAAGTGTGCAGTAAGCCAGATTCAGGGCCAACAGTGCCCCAGCAACAACATAACCCACGGCCAAAGGTGAAATCACATGGCCCCCTCCTCTCTGGTTCCGGGGTGTGTCACCCAAGAACCTCCACTGCCAAGTCACCACAGCTCGGCAGTAAACCAGATTCAGGGCCAACAGTGCCCCAACAACATAACCCACGGCCAAAGGTGGAATCGCATGGCCCTGGGAGGAATTGGGCTCCCTCCTCTCTGGCTCCGGGGTGCATCACCCGAGAACTGCTGCTGCCAAGTCACCACAGCTCAGCAGCTTCTGCAGTGAGCGTCTGCCCCCTGGTGGTCAGTGTGTGTCATACCTACCAGCTGGTCAGACGGTCGCTTAGCCTTTTATATATATAGATAGATATGTCTTCTCAAAAATCATTTGTATCCTTTTTGAAAGAGACATTAATAAAAGAAAGTAGGCAAAGTTTGTGTGGCTGGTCAGCCAAAAGTATTATGATTAACACAGTACATACCAGCCATCTTTATGATGTCCAGGACCAAAGAATTGGCAATTTTGTTCAAAAGGCTAGAACCTGCAGCTTTTGGTTGCACAGCAGAAATATCACCCGATCGTCCAATTCCATGAATGAACCTAAGCAAAAAATGGGCCAACAACTGGACAAAAATATTCAATGTTCTAAGTAATCCACTGTATAAGTATACAATGCAATAACCAAAAAAAAAAAAAAAAAAAAATACCAGGGGCAATACTTGACTAATGTAGATATATTGCATAAACTATTAATAATACGAAAATATCCTATTATGTTGAAATAAATTCATCAATTTTGCTCTCCTATCTAGTCTCCAAAGCTGGCCACCATTAATTCCTTTTCTCCCTATGCCCATATGGTACTGCCACACCAAGAGATGGAGTCTAATTCCCTCCACTTGAATCTGGTCAAGCCTTAGAGACTTGCTGGGCCAGAAAGAAAGTAGCAGAAGTGATATCTGGAACTTCTGAGTTAGAGCATAAGAAGCCTTAAAGTTTCCTACCCAGGCTCTTGAAGGGCTTGTTCTTGAGGACTCCCTCTTGTACTCCACATGCCCTCCTGGGAGAAGCCAAAGCCACATTGAGAGGGCAACTGGGCTCCCAGCAACCCAAGTGTGCCAACTTGGATAAACTGCCCAGTTGAACCTTCAGGTGACTAAACGCTCAGCCACCATCTGACTGCAACCACATGAGAAACCCAAAGTAATCATCACCCTGCTGAGCCCAGTTTACCCACAGAACTAGGAGATGATACATGACTGTTTCAAGCCACTATGTTTTTGAGGTTTGCTGTGCAACAATAGAAAAGCAAAATATCTGCAGCGTTAAATTCTCTTCTTTCTTTCCTTTTCCCCTAACCAGAGCAGGGGACTAAGTTCCAATGGAGATGAGTTGATATTTCAAATATTGCCTTAATCCATTCTTTGAAAATGCATGTGCTAATCCACTCATTTTAAATTAGATGGTATACACTGCTTAAAAATACTTCTGAATATTCTTCAAAATCAAAAATCTATTTGTAATTTATAGTTAAATAGATCAGAAACTCTGCATATTGGAATTATCACAGAACACTAGTGTCACACTTCATTACCACTAAAACCTCATGTACAAAGCATTTTTTACAGATAACTGTTATCAGCCCATTTTTAACATGAATTTTTCACCCAAGTTATACATTAGTTATCGTTAGTTTTAACTGCAATAAGGTTTTTCTTTTAACTGACACATATAATCTGTACTAGTAATAGCCTAGGTGGCGTCACTCCCTCACACATCACGCCCTCACGTCTTCACAAGATGGCCGTCACAAGATGGCCATGCACACAGCAGAGGTGGGGCCTGGAGGAGGAGATGGGTCATGGCAGGGCAGGGCAGTTGTGGGCGATCATGCCGGCAGGGAAGGGCAGTTGTGGGCAATCAGGCCAGCATGGGAGCGCAGTTGTGGGTGAACAGGCCAGCAGGGGAGGGCAGTTGTGGGCGATCAGGCCAGCAGGGGAGGGCAGTTGGGGGCAATCAGGCTGGTAGGGTAGGGGAGTTGGTGGCAATTAGGTGGCAGCGGAGGGCAATTGTGGGCAATCAGGCCGGCAGGGGAGGGCAGTTGTGGGCGATCAGGCCGGCAGGGGAGGGCAGTTGTGGGTGATCAGGCTGGCAGAGGAGGGGAGTTGGGGATGAACAGGCTGGCAGGGGAGGGCAGTTGGGGGCCACCGGGCCAGCAGGGGAGGGCAGTTGTGGGGGATCAGGCGGGCAGGGGCGGGCAGTTGTGGGCGATCAGGCAGGCAGGAGAGAGCAGTTGTGGGTGATCAGGCTGGCAGGAGAGGATTGTTGGGGTGATCAGGCTGGCAGGGGAGGGCAGTTGTGGGCAATCAGGCTGGCAGAGGAGGGGAGTTGGGGTGAACAGGCTGACAGGGGAGGGCAGTTGGGGGCCACCGGGCCAGCAGGGGAGGGCAGTTGTGGGGGGTCAGGCGGGCAGGGGAGGGCATTTGATGGCGATCACGCTGGCAGGGGTAGGGGAGTTGGGGGTGAACAGGCTAGCAGGGGAGGGCAGTTGTGGGCGACCAGGCGGGCAGGGGAGAGCATTTGTGGGCGATCAGGCTGGCAGGAGAGGATTGTTGGGGTGATCAGGCTGGCAGGGGAGGGCAGTTGTTGGCGATCAGGCGGCAGTGGAGGGCAGTTGTGGGCAATCAGGCCGGCAGGGGAGGGCAGTAGGGAGCAATCAGGCCGGCAGGGGAGGGCAGTTGTGGGCGATCAGGCCAGCAGGGGAGGGCAGTTGTGGGCAACCAGGCCAGCAGGGGAGGGCAGTTGGGGGTTGTTGGGCCAGCAGTGGAGGGAAGTTGGGGGTGGTTGGGCCAGCAGGGGAGGGCAGTTGTGGGCAATCGGGCCGGCAGGGGAGGACAGCTGGGAGCCATCGGGCCGGCAGGGGAGCAGTTAGGTGTCAATCAGGCCAACAGAGGAGCGTTTAGGGGACAATCAGGTTGGCAGGCAGACGCGGTTATGAGAAATCAAGCAGGCAGGCAGGCAAATGGTTAGGAGCCAACAGTCTTGGATTGTGAGAGGGATGTCCAACTGCCAGTTTAGGCCCGATCCCAAACTCGCAGTTGGACATCCCCCAAGGGGTCCCAGATTGGAGAGGATGCAGGCCAGGTTGAGGGACACCCGCCCCATCCCATGCACAAATTTCGTGCACCGGGTCTCTAACTGACATATAACATCATATTAGTTTCAGGTATACAAAATAATGATTCAATGTTTGTATATATTGTAAAATGATCACCAACAAGTCTAGTTCACATCTATCATCACACACAGTAACAAGTTTTTCTTTCTTGTGACGAGAACTTTTAAGATCTACTCTCTTAGCAACTTTCAAATATACAAAACAGTGTTATTAATTATAGGTAACATGCTATACATTACATCCCATGACTTATTTATTTTATAACTTGAAGTTTGAACCTTTTAATTCAACTAGAAGTTTGGTGGTTTTGATTGAAAAAAAATTCAACTATGGGATAGAAAATATCATCATGGAACTTTTCTTCAACTAAGATTATTCAAACCAGACTGTTAAACCTAGGGGTTGTCAAACTTCAGTAAAATTTTAAATCATGGAAGACAGGAGTTTTCATTTTAGAGTTTACCTATATTTCACAGAAAGGTAGAATAGAGAAATGACTATATTTGAAACCACTGTCAATTACATGGTTATCAGGATTGATGAAAAGCTTTTTGAAAAAATATAAGAGTAACTTAATAATCTAATATTAAATTTAATATACCCTTTCCTACATCTATCACAACAAAGCAAGGTGCTTATAAAATGGGATTCAGTTTAGATGCAGATAAACAATGATTTATAGTTCTATCTATCTATCATTCTCTAAAAATACTTGCAACTGTAGAAAAGAAACATGGAAAATCATAAAAAACCTTAAGATATTTTAAACTCGTACAAATAATAGGTTTATTATGTTAATTGTTTTTTTAAAATGTTTTATTGATTTTTTACAGAGAGGGAGAGGGATAGAGAGTTAGAAACATCTGATGAGAGAAAAACATCGATCAGCTGCATCCTGCACACTCCCTACTGGGGATGTGCCCGCAACCAAGGTACATGCCCTTGACTCGAACCTGGGACCCTTCAGTCTGCTAGTCAACGCTCTAGCCACTGAGCCAAACCAGTTCGGGCAGGTTAATTGTTCTTAACAGAACATAGAGCCAGTGTTGTTAACTACCCAGAACCTGACAAGAACTTTTACCCTGCTGTCTTGAAGAGCACCTACTCAGATTAAATTGTCGCATCTAAGTTTACATGCCCATGTGAATAGGGAAGAAATAGATTCCAAACAGACATTTTATAATCTAATATGATGAAAACTGCCACCATTGTTTTTAGCAAAAAAAAAAAAAAAAAGGCAAGGAAAGCAATGTTTTCACAGGCTATTTGAAAAAAAATACCTGTAATGACGCCGAGCAACTAACGCCGAAGCCACTCTCCCTTCCCGTTCTCCCACACCACAGTTGCCCAGGAAATTGTTGCTGTCCATGATCGCCAGTTCATGTAGAAAGAGTTCGAGTGTACTTTCATCCCAACCATCCTCTGGACATTTGCCCTTAAAACAAAAAACACGTAATTATAGTGAATTATAATTTAATTATTATTTAAGATGGTTTCATCGTTCCTTAGAATGCACCTCGATGCATTTTAAAACCTTTCCAGGTGTCATTTTGCCATGCTCCTTGCTGTCCAAAATTCAGATAGAAATTCAGCACAATGAAGAACCCTCAACTAGGAAGAACGTTTATGTTACACTACATTACAATGACCTACAGATTCGAGAAGGAATAAATAAATAAATAAAAGCGATGAGATTTACTCCGATTTAAAGTTGCAGTAAGTTAAGGTTACTGAAAACCAGTAAAACCTTATCTTCAACGAAGATTCTTCAAACCAAACCATTAAAACAGACAGGGCGGGGTTCGGGGGGGGGGGGCGGGGGGCTGAGGGCATGAGTGAGGGGGATGGGGGACAATGGGGGGATAAGGACACATTTGTAATACCTTAATCAATAAAGGGGGGGAAATCTAAAAAAAAAAAAAAAAAAAAGCTACAGGTTGCCAAACTTGAGTGAGATTAAATTCGGAAATGCCGTGCCCTGTGATGTTCCCAGGCAGCCCTTGGTATATACCGTGACTTATGAACACGTGTTCCCCCGAGTACTGGGCAAGAGTGAAAGGCGGGAGGTGCGACCTTTGCCCTTTCCGCAAACAAAAAAGTAAACCAACCGGGACTTCCACTCGCTTCCGCGTCCCCAAGTTACACGCAACGGGACTCAAAATCTCGGCCCCGCACACGCCCTAATGCACTCTCCGGTTTGGGGGCGCGGCGAGGTGCAGAGGGAGCTGAGCGCAGCCAGTGGGCGTAGCGCCTGCCCCGCGGCCAGACCCTGGGGACAGCGCTCGGCTGGCAACCGGAAGCGGGCGAGACTGGACGCGGCAGCCACAGGGGGCGCAGCGGAGCGGGGGGCGCGGCGGCAGGCAGCCACCAACCCCTCGGTACCTGCTCCAGAAGCAGCCGGATGAGGTGCTCGTGCGTGCGGCGGGCCTCACAGCCCTGCCGCACGTAGGCGGGCGACACCAGCCTCTCACCGGCCGCGAAACTCTCCGGGTTCATATTGGCGGTAGCAACGGTGGCGTTAGAACAGTTGACACCGGGACGAACACCCACTAAAACCAGGACGCCACTCGCCGCCAGGACGGTACGGCAACGCCTAGGGCCAAACTTCTGCGTCTCGTTCTCGCACCTGCGCAAAGTCCCCCAGAAAGTGGACCCGAAACTGGTGACTTGGAGCATGCGCGGCGGGCTCCCGCGGGTGCTGAACGTGAGCCCCGCCTCGCTGCCTCTGATTGGTCAGGTTAATCCTTGGGCTTTCTGAGCCGGACTTGAAGGACTTTGCACTCGCGCGGAAAGGCTGAGTGAGGAAAGGGAAGGGCCACTGCGTGGGGGTCTCGAAAGAAAAAATGTCCTAAGTTACCCTGTGTCCCAGTCCTGTTGAAATGGTGAGATTTGCGCCGAGTCTGTGCTTCAGTTTCCCAGATTCCAGGACATTTCATTCAACCTTCATACGTCTCACAACTCTTAGGAAAAGCAATTCTCACTCCTTTTCTCCTTTGCACTACAGAAGTTTTAACCCTACTTCCCGCAGCCTTATATGACAGACATTTGACATTACACACACACACACACACACACACACACACACGAATGTAAACTCTCTACAGACAGGTGCTTGGTTTTTACTGCCATACCCACCCCCACCCCCACTCCCAAGCTCCTAGAATAGTGCCCAGAATACAGTCAGGGCTAATTTTTTTAAATCTGCATTAATGATTTACGTTGACCATTCAACAACCTAGTGCTAGGTGCCGGAGATACAGAAATGAAAAGGCAGGATCCCTGCCTTCGATTTCCTTACCATCTTCCCTTTAGGTGAATCTACAGTAATTCCAGACATTGCTTTTGTCCTGGGGCTTGCTAGAGCCCATTTGCACTGGTTCCCACTTGCTTGCAAGAGGTGATGGTTAAATGTTCAGTCATGTTGTGAGCTGGTTTTTAAATGCAGCTGTTCTTTAACAACAAATTAGATAAGTTTATACTTAAGTTAACTGTATTAAAAGCAAAAGTAACAAATGCTCAAACTCATCACTTCCTAAGTGTTTTACTATATTTTACTATTACCTATGCTTTCGACATTATTTACATCGATTGTATTTGTATAGGGGAAATGGGATGTAATGGTGTGCTGATGCACATCTCTATCCAACTTCCTTTTTAGGTGGCATCATGTTGGTAGCTTGAAATGGGGGAGTATTTACACCATGGAAACCAGCAAATGCTGAAAATCAGGCCCTTATCTCTCTACCTCCTCCCCACCAGGAGTCAGTGATTTAACATGTACCAACTCACCACTGTTCCTACTGCATGTTCTCAGGGCATCCTGCCATTTATCAGCCATGGTACTTATCCAATTGCATTTCAGTTGTTAACTTTCTGTCTTCCTTAACTAGACTTGGAGCTCCTAGTTTACAGGGCTATATTTCATATCTGTGTTCAAAGCACACACTGAACACATAATAGATGTTCAAGCAATATTTGTTGAATGATGTGGACAATTTGAGAACTGTAAAACTACACAGAAAGATAAATTGCAAAAATAGTGAGGAATTAGCTTATTTTTTAAAAAACAAGCATTGGCCTTCAAACTTTGGAAAAGTTGAGATCTTATTCCCAAAATGCAACTATTTTTACAACTTTTCTTTTGGAAAAGCCTTCAAAGCTGCTTTGTAGATCACATGCAGGATATGCAAAAAGCCCAAGATCCATCTCATTACTGAATGCACACACTAGGCTTTGAGCCAGCAGGTTCTCTCACATTATTCACCAGTCTTCATTTGGAAAAATGTTTGTTTCCAAAATCTAAATCCATCAAGACATTGGAAAAGTTGAGATCTTATTCCCAAAATGCAACTATTTTTGCAACTTTTCTTTTGGAAAAGCCTTCAAAGCTGCTTTGTAGATCACATGCAGGATATGCAAAAAGCCCAAGATCCATCTCATTACTGAATGCACACACTAGGCTTTGAGCCAGCAGGTTCTCTCACATTATTCACCAGTCTTCATTTGGAAAAATGTTTGTTTCCAAAATCTAAATCCATCAAGACATGCCATCATTGAAGTTTTTTTAAAAAAATGCTGGCTGTGGAGACAATTTCAAAAGAAGTGTTCCAAAATTATTGTCACCCATTCACTCATACAATGAAAAATTTTGAGTACCTATTATTTCTAACAGATAGGGAAGCATCAGAATAATTTTATGGTCTTTACAAGATGGACCTTAAAAATAGGTCCAACATTTGTAAGTCTGAATTTTGCTTGTTGTCACTAGTTGTATGGCCTTGGATGCATTATTCATAGTCCCTTGAGCTTTGCTTTTTCTCATTTGTAAAAGAGGAACATGGAGGAGATAGTTATGATGACTAAATGAAATCTAACTTCTCAATGACATCTTCACCTTGATAGACTGATTATACAAATGGACAAGGGCTAGATGAGAACCCCAACCCACAACCTCAGCAGCAAGTAGCCCAAGAAGCCAACCCAAAACCCCTGCAGCAATCTGCCAAGAACAATTAGAACACGGTCCATGACTGCCAGTTTCCCAACTTCTTCATCTGCTTCCACCTCAGAACCAACCAGAGAAAGCCAAATATGCCCCCCAAACCAATGACATACGATGTTCATTTCTTTAACCAACCTCCATCTTCTCCTTGCCTATAACCGCCAACCACACCTGAATTTTTCCTCATTCTTTTACCATAAAGCTTTTCCACTGCCCTGCCTGCCTTTGAGTTGTCCCAATGCAAGTAGAGTGACTATCTCCCTTGCTCTAGAAAGCTCTAAAAATCTGTTAGTTATTTGGTTGGTCTCCGTTTATTTCCACAGTTTTCCTGGAAGACTCCATGGAGATATGGTCTGCACTGTCCAGCCTTCCACCAGATGAGGTACCCACAGAGGCCCCTTGTACCTTGCTGCTTGTGGCTTTGTCAAGTCTGTGCCCTCGTGGTATGTCAGTGCTGGATATGAACTCTGCTGCCTTTGCATTGAGTTCCTCAGCTATTTATTCTAAATTTGGTGCCCGGGTTTTGTTATTGGTTCCCATTTGTTAGGCATCCTTGGTAGAATCATTCTATTCCTTTTCATCCTTGTTGGCTCCCTTTTGTACTTCTATTTTGTATTGTGCTGCCTACAAGTGCTGTTTGTCATAGGAAGCGGAATCACAGGGTGGAACACAGGCCCAGGCCTTTAAGCCTGTTGTGGAGCGGCCTTAGAGGACCATGAGTTTGCAGTTCTCTCCAGACTGGCATTCATTTGGACATACTTTGTTGGGGTAACCAATAGCACCTTTGCCTGAACTAAAATACCTGTCAGAACATTTTGAGAGGGGTATAGAATAAAAATGAGATAGAATCCAAAATAAACTATGATCTTGCAGATTAAACAGCTTAAGTGGCCCACTACCCAAGCCACCATTTTGACAAAGACAGCATAGATAGTGTAAACAGAAGGGACACTGGAAAAAAGAATGTCCAGTTTTAGAAAAACCAAGGTAAAGAAAATCCCTCAATTCTGATCAATGTATGCACTCTGGAGAAGGAAAAAGCTCCCAATACTCTGATTTTTACCCTAAACACTCAAGTTCAACAAATATAGGTGGTCACACTCATCAATTCCTGGTAGGTAAGGGTGTTCCTCTTACTACATTAAACCCCTCATCTTTCCTCTACCTCTTCCTATCTTTCAAATCACCCACATATTTTTTCTATCTCCCAGCCCTGAACTGTAACCCTTGGGCACTTGAATGAGAAACATTCCTTCCTACTCTATGGAACTTCACCCCTGCAAATTTAATAAAGAGAGACATACTCTGCAAGTGGAATTGTAATATTAAATGTTCAACAGAGGAACTACTTCTTAAAGTTCCAGAGAAGTTTTCTGTTCATAACCAAGTTGTGTCTGCCCTGATATACCTTTGCCTTCCCCATTATATTCACTACACACCCAGATAATGGTCTTAACATCGAACCTGACATTCTATGACCTTCAAAGTCCACTGACACCGAAAAAATAATTGGGGTAGAACCAAGTGACTAGATAGATCCTACCAAACTATTGCCCAAGCACCCCAATATCCCTTAAAGTCAGAAACAAAGCAAGGGCTCAAAGCTATAATTGAAGGCCTATATCTTTCAACTATATAGGTCTTCTCAGACCCTGCACTAGCCCTTGTAATGCTTTGGTCTTGCAAGGAAAGAAACCAAATGGGTAAAGACATTGATTTTTTCAAGACTTCAGGACAATTAACAAAATTTTTGTTTCTCACTTGTCGCTAGTACTGATCTTGGCATCAGTTCTACCTGAAGCTACTTGCTCCACTGTACTGGACTTTTGCTTGCTTTTTTTTTTTTTTTTTTTTTGATGTGCCAATCAGGATACCACATTGCTTTCAGTCATCGTGTCTCTCTAGTGTCCTTGGTTTATGACAATTTCCCAGTTTCTTCTTCTTTTCCATAACTATGACAGTTTTGAGGCGTGCTGGTTAGGTATTTTCTAGAATGTTTCATCATTGATCTTACTAATTCTCGCTTTGTTCTCTATTTCCCTAAAAATCTGGTCTCATCTTTATTATTTCTTTCCTTCTACTTTCTTTGGGTTTATTTTCTATTCTTTTACTAACTCTTAAGATAAAATCTTAGCCATTTTTTTCTTTTCTGCTATATGCTTCCCTCCCTCACCCCCACATACACACACTATTAGCAAAACCAATTATGGTTTCCATGAAAAAAACTAAGGGTGAGATGAGAGGGAGAATCCAGGTCCAGTGGCCAGGAAAACTGCAAGAAAGGAGGGGGGAGGGGGGAAGATATGCAGCAGGTGCCCAGGGAAGGAGAGAAGAGCCAGATTCCCAATTGGGTTTTGAAATGAAATGTACACTCTAGAGAAGTGGTTCTCAACCTTCTGGCCCTTTAAATACAGTTCCTAGTGTTGTGACCCAACCATAAAATTATTTTTGTTGCTACTTCATAACTGTAATGTTGCTACTGTTATGAATCGTAATGTAAATATCTGATATGCAGGATGGTCTTAGGCGACCCCTGTGAAAGGGTTGTTCGACCACCAAAGGGGTCGCAACCCACAAGGTTGAGAACTGCTGCACTAAATCCTGCTGTACAGGTGGG